TGATCCAGCGGTTACCGTCAGCAGTGTTGGGAAGGGGACCATAGATATCGATGCCGACGCGGTCGAATGGTCGAGATGGGCATGGTAAGGGTAGCAAGGTACCGCTGGCGTGACAAGGGGGAGTTTTTCGTCTCTGGCACGTCGAGCAGGCCCGAACGTATTGTCGTATAAAACGGTACATGCCACGCCAGTAATATCGGAGACGTATGCGAGAATAAGTCTTCAGGAAACCTGCGTGGCCACATTGGGGGTCGTCATGAAACGTGGAACAAATTTCGGATCGCAGATGACGTGGAATCACGAGTAGCCACTGACGTCCACCGGGTGCGTAGTTGCGTCGGTACAGCACGTCGTCGCGAGTGGCGAAGTGCTCCACTTGCCGACGCAACGTGCGAGAAGGGGGGGAAGCCGTCCGCCCAGCCAGGATGTCTAGAATCGAAGCAACCCAAGGGTCCTTGCGTTGCTCAGATGGCATGTCGGCGATGGTGACGGCAGTGGCATCACAGGTTATACTTTCGCAGCAATCCGGGTCAGGGGGTAGAGGCGAACGGGATAGGGCGTCTGCGTCCGAATGTTTCCGGCCGGAGCGATAGACCACGCGAATATTATATTCTTGGAGGCGTAATGCCCATCGGGCGAGGCGACCACTTGGATCCTTCAATGACGACAACCAGCAGAGGGCGTGGTGGTCAGTCACGACGTCAAAAGGGCGCCCGTACACGTAAGGTCGAAATTTTTCTATCGCCCAAATAATGGCGAGGCATTCCTTTTCGGTGACAGAATAGTTGCTTTCGGCTTTGCTAAGAGTTCGGCTTGCGTAGGCAACCACGTACTCTTGGAAGCCGTCTTTCTTCTGTGCAAGAATAGCGCCTAGCCCGACACCACTAGCGTCGGTGTGGATCTCTGTGGGTGCCGATGGGTCGTAGTGTCGCAGAATAGGCGGCGACGTGAGGAGGCGGCGCAGTTCATTGAAAGAGTCGTCACAGGTGGCAGACCAGGCTGAAAGGTCTCTGGAGCCGGCGAGGAGCTTGGTCAAAGGAGCGATGATCGTCGCGAAATTGCGGACGAAGCGCCGGAAGTAAGAGCAAAGGCCTATGAAGCTTCGGAGCTCTTTCATGGTGGTCGGTTTGGGAAACGCTGAAACGGCTGTAAGTTTGGCAGGGTCAGGAAGAATGCCGTCTTTTGAAACCACGTGGCCAAGGATTGTAAGCTTTCGAGCGGCGAAATTGCACTTCTTCAGATTCAGTTGCAGCCCCGCGGCAGAAATACACGCGAGGACTTTCTCGAGGCGGGTTAAATGGGTTTCAAAATCAGTTGAAAAGACGACAATATCATCTAAATAACAAAGGCAAACGTTCCATTTGAGGCCTCGAAGGATAGAGTCCATCATCCGCTCGAAAGTAGCTGGCGCGTTGCAGAGGCCGAAGGGCATCACTGTGAATTCGTAAAGCCCGTCGGGTGTGATGAAAGCAGTTTTTTCACGATCGGCCTCTGCCATGGGTACCTGCCAGTATCCAGAGCGGAGATCTAAAGAAGAGAAAAATTCGGCTACCTGTAGGCAGTCCAAGGCATCGTCAATGCGTGGCAGCGGATAGACATCCTTGCGCGTGATTCGGTTGAGACGCCGGTAGTCCACGCAAAACCTGATGGATCCGTCCTTCTTCTTCACCAACACAACTGGAGAGGCCCAGGGACTGCTTGACGGTTCGATTATGCCACGTGTCAGCATGTCGTCAACCTGTTCATTGATGGCACGGCGTTCGGTAGTTGACACACGATATGGACGCTGCCGTAATGGCGTCTCTTGACCGGTATCTATACGGTGTACAACAGATGACGCTCGACCTAAGGAAGGCTGATTGTGGTCAAACGAGGCTCGAAAACGCTGTAGGAGCTTGATCAGCTGTTTCTGCTGCCCAGGCGTGAGGTTACAATCGATGGACTTGCGGAATACATCCATAGGTTCATTAGCGTCAGTTGCGGGTGTAATGGCACAAGTCGGTAGAAATGGCTTGTCTGGATAGATCGGTTCTTCGAAAATACAATTTAAGGTCTCGAGGCTTCCCAGACACTCACCGCGTAGCAGGATGTACGGGCAAGCAGAAACGTTGCACGCATAAAGTACCGCCGAACCATTGGAAAAGTTGATGACGGCAAACGGGAGGACGATGGTCCGGTGTTGCACACTAGCTATAGTTGGTTGGAACAGGAGCGTCGAGTTAGTGGCAGCAGGGGAAAACACAGGCACTAGGACGGCGGACAACGGCGCGATGCGGACGTCAGCTGCGGCAAACACTTTCGAGGGACTGTGGTGGTCGATATCAAGGCACGGATTCGTCAACGTGAGTTCAGCACGAGCGCAGTCGACGAGAGCCTGATGGGTAGAAAGGAAATCCCATCCTAGTATCACGTCGTAAGATGAACGTGGGAGAACAACAAAGTTGACGGCGTACCAAACATCTTGAATAAGAACGCGTGCTGTGCACTGAGCTGTCGGCGCGATGAAATGGGAGGTGGCTGTACGCAGAGCAAGATTCGTAAGCGGCGTTGTAACTTTTCTCAAATCGCGACACAGTTTTTCACTAATTACAGAAACGACGGCGCCTGTGTCGACAAGTGCACGTACAGCAACACCTTCTACTAGCACATCAATTTCGTTGGACGGACAAAGAGGAGGTCTTAGAAAGTTCGACGACGACGCAGTTCTTGCCTCCGGAACTGCGGCTGTCAGTTTTCCTCTCGAGCGGGGCTCGTGCGCCGAAGCATCGGGGAGACAGATCGGCGACGGGGTGGTAATGACCGGCGAGAATCGACGGGGCGTCGTGGGGACAATGAGTGGGTGATAGGAGAAGATGGTCGCCGGGGATTCTGGGCAGCCTGGTAATTTGCAGAATTCCCATGGTCTGGAGGCTGGAAGTTGCGACGGCGACAGTAGCGTGCTATATGTCCCACGAAACCGCATGCGAAACAGATGGGTCGATTATCCAAGGTGCGCCATGGGTTAACGACAGAAGGTGCAGGGGGCGAAACGGGATGGGGTGCCGTGTATGTAGGCAGCGTCGTAGGGTAGGAGGACCCGGTGCCCCGGTATGCGCCAGAGACAGGTGGGGCTGGGGGTCTAGCAACGACGGCAGCGTAGGTCAGCGGCGTAGGGACAGGTGGCGATGGAGGCAGTGCTTGCGCGACCTGTGTCTCAATGACCTGGCGTAGACGTGGGTCTAACGAGGTCACTGGCGCGGATGCTTCGGCCACAAGAGAAAGCTGACGCGCAACTTCCTCACGAATGAATTGTTTGATTTGGGGGAGTAAGACGGTCTGATCAGCAGCGACGTCGTGTACGAGGGCGGAAACTTCAGCCGTATCTTCTGCGGCCCTGCGCGTCGAGACACGCTGCTTACGCAACTCGTCGTACTCCTGACAGAGGTGGACAACATCGGTGACGGTCTGTGGATTCCGAGCGACGAGCATCTGGAAGGTGTCGTCGTCAACTCCTTTGATGATGTGCTTGATTTTGTCGCGTTCGGTTAGAGATTCATCGACGCGCTTGCAAAGGGACAAGACAGCTTCAATGTAACTCGTAAAGGTCTCGTCCCTGCGCTGGACTCGACTACGGAGACGCTGTTCCGCGCGAAGCCGGCGCACGGCGGGACGGCCGAAGACCGCGGAGATGGTGGTCTTGAAGGCGGACCAGTTGGTAATTTCGCCTTGGTGGTTCTTGAACCAGAGGCTGGCCACATCAGCTAGGTAAAAGCGCACGTTTGTGAGCTGGTCGCAGGCGTTCCACTTGTTGGAAGCGCTTACGATTTCGTACTCGACGAGCCAGTCCTCGACGTCTTGTTCATCGTTGCCGCGAAAAATTGGTGGGTCACGTTGCCGAGGCGCGCCAGTACAGTAGACTGTCGGTGAGGCAGCTTGAGAAGGGCCAGGAGCAGTCATGGTGAACGGTGAGGGTAGCGTCCGATTGCGAAGTTTTAGGTTGATGGGAACCCCGGCTCCTCCACCACTTAAAATAGAGGTGTTGTACGTCGAGAAAGGTTCAGACGCAGCTTGGCAAAATGAGCTTTAACAGGCAGGTCTGGCTAATGGCGAACGGCGTGCGCGAGCTACTGCTGCAGCCACCGATCATCATCGTCTTCTTCGTTGCCAGCAGAGCGTCCGTTACTCAGATTCATTAATTCATTACAATATATATATATATATATATATATATATATATATATATATATATATATATATATATATATATATATATATATATATATATATATATATATATATATATATATATATATATAATGGAAACAAGTGTATAACTAAGGGCTCGTTATTTCGTGTTTTTACACAATATTCATGAGATATAACAGACAATAATGCCAAGGAAAGTACAGGGGAGGTTATTAGATCGAATCGTAAGGTAAATGAGAAAAAAGAAAATTGGGGGAAAAAGATAACTTGCCGTGGGCAGGAACCGAACCTGCGACCTTCGCGCGTTATTCGAAGGTCGCAGGTTCGGATCCTACCCACGGCAAGTTATCTTTTCACCCACTTTTCTTTTTCTCATTTACCTTACGATTTGATCTAATAACCTCCCCTGTACTTTTCTTGGCATTATTGTCTGTTTTATATATATATATATATATATATATATATATATATATATATATATATATATATAATTATCTGGTGGCCTACAGATTTCTACTTTTAAATATTTCCATATACTGCAGGCCCTTTTCGGACCCATTCAGGAGTGAAACACAAGATTACAATCAGACCATGCACAGTTATACACTGAATACCTTTGCATAATTAAAATATACAAATACTAGGCAGACAGCTGGGAAATATTATCAATGTTTAGTTCATATCAAGTCATGACAGGCAACAAAATTTCACAAATGTGTTTTGTTTTCAATACATACAAGTCACTTAAGTCATACACAAATCAAGGCATTTTCAATGTACATCACTTTTATCAAAAAAAAAATTCGACAACTTGCCTCCAAGAAGCGCCACGACGAAGATCACGGCAAACATTTTCCTGAAATAAGGGAAACGTAGTGTTTATTGATGAATAGTTCTAATTTTTCACAACGTCGATCCGGGTCGAAAACCTAAGCAGTGAATAGATTTTCGTGTAAAAACAAGAGAAAATCGGCCCCCATTAACTGCGAAATTTAAGATTAGTCAGACTGCGTCCGCGAGAAATCTCAACAAAATATAAAAGCACAAAACAGAGCCTAACGTTGATTATCGTGTGCTTGACCTTAACGAAAGAGCTGCGCATAATCAACACCCCCCAGACACCCAGGATAGGTGATAAGACTGCTCGAGTCCACCAGGCCATCTACTAGTAGCTTAATACCTGTAGACGTCTATGAAAATGCGTCGGTCAGTGACAACGCCAGGTGACCGCAATTATCATCTAGTTCTGCAAATTGGCATTGTCACGTTCAGCAAGATCATTTTTAACGCTTTTTCCGCGTTTTGTGAGTGGACAAAGAGGTATGACGTGAATGGTCGGCGCACGTGTGATGTCTACTACAATTACCATTTGAAACTGTGGTGCTGCGGTCGTTCAGCCACCATGGAATGAGTACATTAATTTTCCTCGTCTTCATGCTTGCGGGCTTCTCGCGCGCCTTCGGCTTCGTTTATGGTTGTTTCGGCATTTGTTCTGGATAAATCAATGAATCGTACAGTACTTTGTGCATCGATTTCACTTGGCGATCCTGAAAATATTGCGTTGGGGAAGTGGAATCTCTGAATATTCACTGAACTTTGTTTTGCGTCAAAGCGGGTCCGGGCCACACTGAGCCGATTGGAGCCAAACGTATGAAGACTAGACAAATTCGTGTATTACCCATCATTGCGATTCTGGCTGACGCACCATACGTTGAAGCTCGCATAGATATTAGTAGCGGAGTTATCCCCAGTTAATGGTGTAAAACACTGCGATGGTGTGTACCTAAGCAGATACTTCTGTGCCCGAAAGTGTTGCAAATTTCTCTCACGCGCTAAATTTGCCGCTGTACCTGCATTTGAACTTCGTTGAATCAGCATAACCTCCCGTCATCTTGTGCACAGTCAGTATATTTTATTATTATCTTATGAACTTCTGTTCGCTTTTGTTTTTTTTATTTCATGTAAGCCGCAGCCCTTTATACAAAGATTTGCATGATTGAGGGTAAAATAAATACCGCAGGATCCCGAGCCAGCAACCCTATATACCCGAGCAAGCACACATGCCTGTCTCCGGTACATATAAAATATGCGTTTTTTTTTTTTGCCATATACACATATGCCCAATTTCACTGTTTGATTCAATTTATTTATTCGCATGATGTATGCGAATGAAAACAGCGAATGCATGCGTATTCAATAAAACATTTCACGACAAGCATGAATGCACATTATTTATTCTTAGCAGCTCTTCCGCCGCCAGCTTGCATTTTTATTGATGGCTGATTAATGATACTGTCCCCACTCCAAATCGTGTCGAATTATCCTTCGCAACAGTAAAGAGGGTGACGGATTCAAATTTTACGGTAAATAAATAAATAAATAAAGTTTTCTGGCACTCATTAATGATCACACAGCTTGGTGTAATATCTATAGACTTTTTCACAATAGAAAAAAAAGAAATCGTCGCCATGATGCATGCTAAAAAGTAAAGGATGACATGACAACCTTGGTGGGGAAATTTTAGCGGGTCATGCCTACTTAACGCCGCCCAGAGAGGACTATGACAGTGCCCAGGGAGCCAACAGGGAAAAAGTCTGTACGAGTACAGCGTCGCAACGCTGCAGCAATAGCAGCGATGCTTTTTTAAAAGTAAAAATGCGTGGCTTACCTGCCCAGCCTTCTTCTCGTCACTGTAAAGAAAAAGCTATGCTTACTTGCACAGCCTTTCGTCTTTGTAAAGGAAGTGTTGTGGAAATGGATGGGGTGAGTTCGGTCGCATATCCCTCCTCACCTCTGTGTTATCAGCCTTTAGTGCATACGTAGGACTGCCTTTCAACAATGGGGCATTGAAGGACATATTTATATCGCTCTTTGTTAGGAGTGAGTGAATTCCCATATGGCGCTGCCGCGAACTTTGCGTGTTTGTCACACGAAACTGATAAGAGTAGGATTGGAGGGTCTTTCTGTCGCTTCGATTGTTTCACCTTATCTTCGCTGCCTTCTTCCTAGGCCCGCTTCGATCACCGAATTTCAAGTATAAATTCCAGGAATACTGCATATTTACGTGTACGTTTATCTCTTGAACACGCGGAAACGGTTGCGAACTCTTTCGTTATCCCTTCTTTGCACACGCTCCTATCCAAGTACGCGTGTACAAGTCGTATGATTGCTCCTTGTTTAATGAGTAGTTACAACCCTCTGTGCAATGTGCATTATCCATAGAGTTCAGTGAGTTCATGGCGCTTTGTGATTATAATCCATCTGCAAATTTGAACAATAAGTGTGTGTCGTATCAGTCTACTCCGTGCACTTCAGTAGCTCCCAAAAGTAAACACTTCAAGCGAAAATTGCCAATCAGTTTGGGAGCAAGCTGGCTGGGTAATTCGATGCGCTAAACGAAGCGCATTGATCGCTTCGACCAAGAACGGATGTACGGGGAAAAGCGTAGGTGAAAAGAGAGCTTCAACGGAAATGCTTGCAGTGATAAAGCTGATCCTCAATGTTTTAGAAAGTTTCAGCACTCAAACCTTGCAAGCAAAACGGCTGACAGCTTTCGCATTTTGCTCAGCTGCACTATGTAAACACGTCTTCAATTTACTTCGCTTGTATTACCCTGGTTCGGCGATTAAAAACTAAACTCAGCCCTAGTGGTTGTCTGTGTCACCTCGCACTGATCCACCGAAAGTGAAGGGGTGAAAAATTCATGTTCAGAAATTCTGTGCCGCCGAGATTGTGTGGCGGTGGCTAAAAAAAATATTGCGAAAATTGCGTTTTTCGAACAGCATATGGCACGGAATAGCTCCACCCACAAATGTTGCTGCATTTACACTAGTGAGGTAAAGAAGTAGTTATAGCCAAAATATGGCAGTGTTGTCGGTATGCTGTGGTTCTATTACTGCTGCCAGTGATCAACGGAAGAGCATGACACATGCGTGCGCAAAATGCGAGCTACTGTCCCTTCTCCTCCTGCTACTCATCATCATCATTTGCATCATCATCTTCTGCTTCTTCTTCATTTTTCACTTGCTTTCTTCCTTTCTGAGTGCAGAGCAGCCTGTGGAGCTTAGTATGGTTAACCTCTCTCACGTTTCTTTACATCTTTCTCTCTCTCTCACACCCTCTCCTTATCTTACGTGCAATGATTGTCTAGATCAGTTGTTCTTTGGCGTGGATGTTTCTTGTATCCCTTGCGTACCGGTCTTGCTGAGAGAGCAAGGGGAGAGGGGTCATGAATTAACAGATACTGACACGTAAACTATTGCAAAGTGCAGTTTCACCCCTGCGCAAATCGGTCGCGTAGTGAAGAATACCAAAAATTAAAATTATCGATTCTCACGGGTCATGGTAGGCCTGAAAGAAAAAGAGGGGAGAAAAAAAGTTTTTTTTTTCAAGCAAGTGTTTCAAGCGCCCACCGAAATTGCTTCATAGCCCTGCTGAGGTCCTCAGACCACAATTTGACAACCACTCGTCTAAATACATGGGTAACAATTGGTGAAATGAATTGCTTTACCCTTTTCGTTTAGACGTCTTGAGTTTTATTGTATAAGCTCGGAAAAGAAGCTATGCGGAATAAGTTTAAGCATCCACATTATGCACACAGTTACAAACATATCTGTTTGAACGTGGACTTCGTCCAAATATTTGCTAGCAATGTAACAAGTTATCTCTAATACAATGCATGACACATCAGCGCATTAAAACCAAGAAAAATGCGACGTTACGATCGTGCGGGGAGAAACCAGGCAATATTTATGTGACGTCACTCTCATCGCCTACTGCCTACCGCTAATGATAATGATTAATATTGAGATTTGGGCATTCACTCTGAAATGTAGGAGCGACAAACTGAAATATGAGACGCTTTTTTTTTTGTGTCGGCATCATTGTGTTATTGTAGTCTAGTATTTCTGCTATTGCTTCCTGATATCTTCTTTCATTTTTCATGCATACGTTTCTGTATTTCGCATTCAACTACGTCTCTAACATCTTGGTTCACAGATGTGACGGAGAAGTTGTGAGCCAGGCTCCCTGTGCCACCTGGAATAGAGCCCGGAACATCAGCACGAACCGAATGAGAGAGAGATAACAATATTTGATGAAATTTCCGGAGATGTTAGCCCGGGAAGAACAGGGAGCTGGGGGAGCAAAACATCACGCACCGTTACCGTGGAAAAGCACTGCCTTTTATTTCCTACGCACTCATCTTTTTATAGCAGCATCGGGATGACGTAACATACCGCATATGCAATGTGTTACTGCATCAACACATAAGCTTGTGTTCCGGTGGCTATCTGTTATACAGTACACTCACGCTCACTAGGCTTCACTGTGATTGACCTGGCAGTGGCTTTTTGTGTTTTTTAGTTCTTTTGAAGTTAACTTAGAACCAAATAAACAAAGAACTTAAGCGTTAATTTTCATTGATGTGTGGAACTAAACATCCCCAAATCACAATAATGCACTGAAGGACATCACAGTTTTGTCATTAGTAATGAATTTTGACGCCTGGGCTCCTTCACTGTACCACTGAAACATCAAGGCGAGACTCTTGGATGCCTCTTAAAAGACAAAAATTGACCGGCGTCCGGCGTCGGTGAAGCCAACACGAGCAATGCGAAACATAATCACGCGAAGACGTCATATGTCGCCAGAATTCGTGATGTCATTATGATGTCATCATGACATGACGTCACGTGATCCCGTAAACAAGTGAGACACTGCAGCTTCACCGACGGCTAGCCAATCCCGGAGGCAAGGCAAAACGAGGCAAGGTGCTTCTGATCTTGGAGGCAATGCGAAACCACATTAGGTCCAGAAACCTCTTGGAGGCCCGTGGGGCAGGAACAATACATCGTCTTAGAATAAAAATAGATGGCTTTCGATTTTCAGTCTCCTTAGGTGAGTGGATATAGAATAATGTGAGTTTTCTTTATTTCTTGATTGAAGACAGAGCGTATACGAGACAATATTCTACGCAAGGGTATGTCCAAGTCGCAAAGTGCGCTGCTAAGTTAAACAGTAATATCACGCCACATCGGATGCCCACTGCTTCAGTCACATCCCAAGTCCATTTAATATAGTTCAAAGTGGAGTTTCCTTTGCTTGTAGTACATATCCAGGCGGTGAAAAACGAGGAGTAGACCCGTATGCATCCGGCAAGGTCAACAGACAACTGCGCGAGCCAGCGCCCCTTCTTCCACCTTTATTTGCAACACAGGCCTCACGGTGCCTCTTCCATTTTTCGTCTCGTGCACATCACACTGTTTTAGCATAACCATAGAACGGCGTCTTTGATCCCACTGAGCGACACCTATGACAGCTCTTCAGAACGCTTGTCTGGGCGCTCAGTCGCAGCGCGCGTTACACGATCGGCACCGAAGTGCGCAGGGCGCTTAGTTCCTATTTTGGGGAGAGCGGCTATTGACGTCTCTGCATCTCTCATCTCGCTGGCAGGCGCCAGCTAGGCCCGTGTTTTTGTTGCTTCATCGCCGCCTAGCGAGAGCTAACAGGACTTAAGCTAGGAGAAACAAATTGTCGAAGCGAACTTCTACGGGCTTTCCCTCCTTGTTCGCAGCAGGCGCGCGCGACAATGCAGAAAATAGTAGCTGCCTCCGCCAGCATTTCCTGGGCGAGAACGATGCACGGCTGGTGAGGTCGTGCTAACACCGGGGATGCTTGCCAGGGGCGTCAAAGACGGCTGCGGGCCGCTCGCTACAAGCTGTCATGCGGCAAGTGCTTAAGTTTAGAACTGACGCCGAGACGGTGTCGTTGCGCCTGCCGCTACGCGGGGTCGCGAGCTGCCACCCCTGTTGCGCACACCCCGTCAACCCCGGGAATTCTCGCGTCGTGTAAGTGATTTGTAAGTTGATGTTTTTTTTACCTCCATCATTCTCTACGCATCACTCCGCAATGAAGGAGACGGTTTGCGCGACTGCTGACTCTTCTTTCCTCTTTTCTTTCTTTCTTTCTTTTTTCTTTCTTTCGAACGTGTTAGAAAAGTCGCGTCATTCAAGACGCGTTCCGGCGGCGGCTGCCATATGGAGACTTCTTTCGCTGGGGCTTGACAAATTGTTTGTTGACAATGAAGAGATTGAGTGAGCCAAGCAGTCGGGTGATAGCGGAAGGGATGTCTCAAAAGCGTCAACCTCCTCCGAGTCAGCTGAGCAAGTAAAGTGCTGCGCCACATTCTCCTTCGAGGGACAAACGCAGAAGAAGAAGAAGAGGAAAAGCAGGCAATAAAAAAGAAAACTGCCACATAGCGGGACCGTAAGGCGAGGTGCTGACGCCGTATTTTAAAGGAGAATTATCGGCTCCCCCGTAGAGTTCAGTTTCATCTCAACGTCGTTGACGTGTAAATTTCTTGTGCCCGGCTTTTTCCGCGAAGTTGGAATGTCGCCCACGGGCAATTATCGCTGTAAACGTGACGAAAAATATATTTCTTGGCTAAACACGTGGATATCGCGCAGTGGTGTCATGTTCTGGGGTTCGCTTTTTGTTTTTTGCGCACCTGAACATGTTGGTCTGACGCGTGTGCAGGTTAAATTTATGCTTTTTGAGAACTCTGTCGTCCAACTTTGATTTATAGCCAAGTTCAACCATAGGGAGTTGATGAGCTCTCCGTCGGACTAATGCACTAAAAACGAAATTGACAAGAACTAAAACCCCAAGAAAATAATGTTTGTAACTCCAGTTCAACACCGAATTTTTTTTCTTGGCTTACTGGTGGTAAATTTACTTCTTTATGAATTGCGCATATGTGCGTTTGTCGCTTTCATTTGGGCGTGCGTGGCCGAGGAACCTGACCTGTTTTTGAGGCC